CCCTTACCGAATGTCGTATCCTGTCAGCAAAAACCTGTCCATGGGCTTTTTTGATTGCTTCAGTTTACTGTAAGTGCCGGCGATGCAGTGTTGCCAGATATTGATACTAAAAATACAAAATACAAAAAATAAATACAAATAAACGTAAGTTATTTCCAATCTTTTGCAAATAAGATAAGATAAAGATATCTTTGACTTCCTACTTTATTAACTTTCTAAAGTGTTAAATTAAGTGGAAAAGACAAGTCCAAAAACGCTTATAATAGGTGGATCTGGCAACACGGAGGCTGCGCTCGCGCCCTCACTCACAACTCTCAAGCCTCGTTCACTCCGGCAGCGTATCGCAGCGATCATTTTCATAACAAGGATGCTAAACATTCTTGCAAACTGTCTAAACTGAATTATACATGTCGTGCAGGCATTCATATGAGGAGTTTAACAGCAAATTAGTCATTCAAAGAACAAATTTTATTTTTGAACATGAAAAATTTACCGAGGTCCGGACCTCGGTGGCCTCATAGCTGGTTACGGGCCTGGACATAACAAGTGCCTACATTTGTTTTTATAGGCATTGCTTAAGGACAACAAAAGTCATCACCATCTTCATCATTGTTGTTCTGTGTTCAGTAAGTTTTTCTACTCATCAAATTTACTCAACAGCTTTTGTTATATAGAATAATAACCATTTATGATTGTTTTACTTAAAAGCTCAGTGAATTTATTTGTCTGACACTCTGAAATAACCATATTTATTTGAATCATCAGCTGTTTTTCAGCATGTATCCTGACAGGGAAAGCCCCTGGAGGATGCTGGCAGTCTCATCCACCGAGAGCTTCTGTATCCTCCCCATTTGTGTACTTAAGAGAATCTGCATTGTTTGGGTTTGCATTGACTAGATAAATAAGAATCATTAATGCACAAGTCAAATATTGTGATGATGCATGCCACTGCGCTAACTCCTCAGACCCTGCGGGGATTTTATGTTTGGTTCGGAGATTGCACTGAAGGGCTGCGCTAATTCATTTCCGTTTCTGTGACAATCTCACCATCTGCTATTTACAGCGGCCTGTGTCATGGTAACAGTCTTGCCTATGACTTCGTGCATAACAACAGATCTGCCTGATACTTGCAGCAATCTGCGGGTCCTGCAGAGCTGGAGAGATGAATGTGAAGAGTGAACAATGCACTGAAGTGCTTCAAAGTACCTTCTGCTGGTGGGAGGGAATTGTCTGTCCAAAATGAAACCGTGGCCAGCTGACATCTGTTTGCAAAACTTTTCCAAAACGCTCAGATGGATATTTTGTGTTATGTGTTTTCATTTGTAATGTGTTTCCTAGTTTGTGGACATTTTTCTTAACCTAACTGATCGCTGTAGCTATGAATCTTACTGATTTTCGTGACAACTCCCTACTGAAGCTGCAGGTTGGTGGGCCGTTTTTGGGGGGGATGGAGGCGGTACAAGAGGCCCAGGAGTATATTCTGATCCAGGTGGAGCAGACTGAAGAGGCGGGGTCTCGCCGGAGAAGAACTCAGCAGGTTAGAGTTGTTTCAACAGAGCCAAATGGAACAGTTATGTTCTTCACACTACCAGCAGATTAAACTAATGTTAAATAAAGTTAGACCATCAATTTAGTCACACAAAAAAGTGTTTTTATGCTTTAATAAAAATAGTTTGGGGTCAGATTTTTTTATGTTTTTGAAAAATCTCTTATGCTGGCCAAGACTACATTTAATTTAATCAAAATTACAGTAAAAACAGTAATATTGTGAAATATTGTTACAGCTTATTGCAGTGATGGCAAAGCTGAAATTTCAGCAGCCATTACTCTAGTCTTCAGCATCACATGATCCTTCAGAAATCATTTTAATATGCCGATTTTGTGATCAAGAAGCATTTCTTATTGTTATAATTTCTTATTGTATCAAAAAATTATCTTATCTCTTATGCTGAAAACAATTGTGCTACTTATATATTTTTGTAGAAGCTGTAATACATTTTATCAGGATTCTTTGATGAGTAGAAAGTACATAAATACTTAAAAATAAAAAAATTAATGACCACGAACTTTTGAATGGCACTGTATTGTAGATTATTTATATAATATAATATAATATAATATATAAATGAAAAATTATTTAAATGCCTTATAGTTTGATGTTAATGTATATAATGCAAAGGCATTAATTTTAAGGAGTCACTTATAAGTATCCAAATACTTTTTGAGGATGCTGTATGTAAAATATATCTAATTAAAAATAAAAGATTAAAAGAGATTGTTCTATACATTCACAATACAAATTCTAGTATTTTTCTAACAGCTGCTTTATAACTGGACTATACCATTGCATTCCCAACGAAGTGACCAAATTCTGAGAACAAGGACATTTGAAATGGTTAGCAGGTACGATCATACAAACAAAATCAGTTGCTCTATATTTTAAAAAGTAGAATAATATTGTCATACTACTGTCTTCAGATTTTTAAATTGTGTTAATAGTTCAGTAAATGTGATCATTTCATAATGTGGGTTATGCAGTAGTTCCTGTCACGGTGTATGCTCTAGTGCAGGGGTGCCCAACCCTGCTCCTGGTGATCGACTGTCCTGCAAAGTTTAGCTCCAACTCTAATCAAAGACACCTGCCTTTAATTTTTAAGTGATCCTGAAGCCCCTAATTAGTTGCTTCAGGTGTGTTTGATTAGGGTTGGAGCTGAACTTTGCAGGACAGTCGATCGCCAGGAGCACCCCTGCTCTAGTGTGTCTCCGTCTCTCTAATCTGTCTCTTTCTTTTGCCCTTCAGCGCTCCTATTCTGATCAGTGTGCAGGCCTTTCTGTTCGACAGTCAGGTGGTTCCTCTGTCCATGACTCACCAGTCACTCTATGTAACCGTGGAAACACAGGTGCTTATCGCCGGATTGATCCTGGCAGGAGTCTATGTGCTCATCATCTTTGAGGTAAAATATGAGGTGTCGGTGTAAAGACATTATTTTCACACTGCACGGTAATCCATTCAATGGTCTTTCATGACTCATCCCATATTTCATCCCCATAAACAAGATCATCTCGGCTGTTTTGCCACATTGACTCTGTGCGGCGTCGTCTGAGATTTGTGTGCGCACATCTGTAGTCTTTTGTAACTCCTCAGGAAGAGTAGATGCCATGCTGGGTATGTTATTCATAAACTTTCTAAAGTTGCGCTTGTAGATCCAGCACTACTACACTGAGATGTCCTTGGCAGTAGCTATTCATAAACTCGTGTTTTATTAGTAGAGGTCACTAGGCTCTACTAATGCTAACAGGAAGCGCTTTCTACTGGCACACACTGACTGCGATTCCAAAAAAGAATGTCACATTTTTTGAGTACCTGGAGCCAACTTATCAAAGTGGATTTAGAGTGCTTGAATTTTATTGCAAGACCAAATTGTATTAGTGCAAATGAAAATACACAATGTTTTAAGCCTCTGAAACATTGTAAATGAAATATTTTGAGGTAAATTCAAGAAGAACATTGTGAACTCTAATACAAAATGTTGGATGGACCCTTGCTTCCACTGAAACTCAAAAAATGCCTACTTAAAATCATGCTGAATAACATGTATCGGTCAGAGTTCATGCAGCTTGAGTGCTGCTGTCAATCAAATCAATGAGGGAAATAAATACTAAGACATTCTGAAATTCATGTACATTTTTCAATTAAACTGTTCCCTCAAACGTGATCATATCATTTGATATAAAAATGTAAATGATAAAAGAATGCAAAAAAGGTGCATTTTCACTATTGCATTTATTTATTTATTTTTTTTGTTCACTGTCATACTATGTTAGTCATGTTAGTCTGAACAACTAGAGCCTTAAAGAGCCTTACAGCAAAACACTCCTCCACATTTTTAACTTCCTCTTCTCCCTGTAGTGCACACGGGGTTTTTTTATTTTTTATTTATTTATTTTTTTTTAAGAGTTTTGCGAGAAAGCGGTGCTTTAGTGTGGCTCCAGGGGGACATGAGGGCAGAGGGGACCTCCCTTCCTAATTACATTTATTTCTTCAGGAGGGACAGCATGCTGCGTGTCGAAGAGTTTAATTAGACCTTTGTGAGAATGCTAATGGAGACTTTGGGGGCCCATGTTTCCACTTTTACCGTTAATACTAATGCTTCATAACTATGGCTACACTGTCATCAAGGAGCTGAGAAAATAAAAATTATGTTTTTAAAAGTGAACTAATGAACAAATTTTGCTGATTGGGTGAGTCGTCATCATCATTTTATTTATTATGCTTTTAAAATAGGGGAGTGTTTCTGTGATCATCTATTTATAAGAAATTTCCCCAAACCCCTTCCCAGTTAGAACACATCCAGAATGCATTACAGGTGAAGTTCATCAGATAATCCCATTGTTGAAGACTGCAGTATTATATTATATTATATTATCTGGACATGTGAAAATATTACAACTTCAGTCAACTATGATATGTATATGAACTAGTTCCCAGGCTTTTTAGAAATCATCAAAAGGTGTTGGAAAAACACAGTAACTTTGCTGTCCAACTGAGTGCAGTCTGTCCATTTGTAATGATGAATATCTCACACATAACACAGCATGGCATTTCACTAGAAGTAACATAACACCTAAACAACACTTGCTCATACAGTCTATCTTAGTCTAAATGTATCATTTACTTTTTGATCTGGATTTTTTAATACTAGGAAATACAGCCACCATTACTCAGTCCAATTATAATTAAAATATTGCTGCTTTTCATGTATTGATCTAAACGGCAAATGATGTAGCCAAATGTATGTGTGTGTGCCAGAAGGAAGGTGCAGCTGCCCAGATTGTGCCTTCATAATCAGCTTTTAATAGACTGCTGAATCAGATGATATACTACAGTACTAAACATTAAAGTTCAAAAGTTCTAGACCACTAGTAAAAAAAAAAAATTGATTTACAAATTACATTATCAGCATAGCAATTTTAGTAAACTTTTAAATGAAGTCTTATGTCTCGACGGCAGCACCAGAGATTTGTATAAAACCTAATGATCATATTATTGAGCATAATTTGCGATCTTCAAAAGAGTCTTGTCATTCAGTGGAGGCAAGAATATCTGTCATCATAGTACATTTTTTACACAGTAGTTCACACGGCTGGTTTAATTAATGACCAAAGTGCAGAATCTTAAATATTTCTTCATTTTATAGACTTGATTAGCATTACAGATTCCACAGAAGTTTGTGTTCTCAGACATTTGGACTCCATTGTAAATAAGGAAGCATTTGTTGTAATGACCTGGGCCTGCTCTTCCTATCTGCATTGCACAGCAGCTTAGTGATAATCCTCCGAACTGATCTAGAATCAGCACTCTGAAAACTACTTTGATTAAAAGGGCTCAGATGGTGAGTTTCATCAGCAGCTCTGATAGCTAAAACTCATTTGCCCCGAGAGAGGGCAAAACCTAAAATATATATAAAAAGATATATAACAGTATGATATGCTTATAAATATTAATATGCCTTAAAAGATTCATGAATAATGTATTTTCACAATCTAATTGCAGATATCTTGTAAACATTTTAATAATGGCTGATAGATTATTCTTAAATTAGACTAGAGTTGCAGTTTCTCAGTTACTGGGGGGATTTGAGTATAAAACTAACATTACATCCCACACAGGCACATTTTGACATTTCATTTAGCCATAAACTGTTTCTTACCCTATAATTGAGAGTAATTGGTTTAAACCACAAAACAGAGAAACATTAATCTCAGAGGATACTTTCTTATGCAAAGCAGCGCAATGTATATCCATGTTGCTGATTAATTCTGCTCAGAAAGCAGTGTTCAACCATTTATCTTAATGACCTGTTTTAGACTTACAATCACAACACTGCACCAAGTGTTCCTCCCCCTCAGGGAAGTTGTCGGACTGACACAGATTACTTGCTCCTTCGAGACTGGAGTCATTAGCTGTTATCCTGCATGTTATGTACTCATTGCCTTTCTTTGGCTCTTCTAGCTGATTACACGCTCTTGTAATGACTGCTCCATCTTGGCACATGACACTGAAAGAGGTGCATCAGAGAAAGTTTGATTCAGGTGTTCCAGTCAAGTGCTCTCACTAGGAAAACTGATGCTGAAGATGCTGATATCTGACAATGCACTTTAAGGCGGCGCTTTTAGTCCAGAGGCTGATTGAAGAGCAGAAAACCAAAAGACGTTGTCGACTGACGCATATATCCTTGTGATTTGGCATTTATCGTTTGATTATAAGAGTGCATAAAAGGGGCAGAATGAATTTAATGTAAGAAATGAGGTGGATCAAACATAAATGAAGTGTGGGGTAGAGGGTTAATTGGCATTTTGAATGAGCAAATTTGTTTGGTTGTCCAACGTCTGTTACACAGCCTTATATTTTACATATTTAATAGTGTTTGCTAAGGAAAACATCACTATTACTGTTGCTGATGCAAAGGGTTTGGGATTTGAACACACCCCTAATACCAAGTATTACAATTTTGTGCTACGGGAGAGAATGATACCTCATATCATGCAGCTTGTTGAGATGAGTTGTGCTATTACTTTTCTAAGCAATCAGACTTATGATTTTTGTCTGGCGGGTGAAAAAATGGTGAGAAAACCACACTGGCTTTCAATGTAAGAAGGACCATAACATAATAAAGACATGGGGGCAGTAAGCATCCACTTACAACATCCTGGCAACCGCATAGCAACATGCCAAAAACACTCAGAACATCTTAGTGACCCCATAGCACAAATCTAGTTTGTGTTACATTGTGCCCATTAATATATGACCAGGTTTATAATAAAATTGTCAAAATATATAGTATTCCAATTGTGAGTAAAAATGTTGCATCTGTGTTTGCAGATTGTTCACCGCACTCTGGCTGCAATGTTAGGATCCCTGGCTGCTCTGGCAGCACTGGCTTTCATTGGAGATGTAAGTTTTAGAGAATGTTATTTATTCTATTCTGATGAAGATAGCTTACATTATGTCAAGAGTTGGACCCTGGGATTTTATTAATGTTGAAAACTGCAGTGATGGTCTTGAGTTTTATTAGCTTAAAGGGGTCATATGATGCGATTTCAATTCTTCCTTTCTCTTTGGAGTGTTACAAGCTCTTAATAAAGAAGATCTGTAAAGTTGCAAAGACTAAAGTCTCAAATCCAAAGAGATATTCTTTATAAAAGTTAAGAGTCAGCCACACCTACCTAAAACGGCTCGTTCTAACACGCCCCCACATATCTACCTCACTATGTGGGAAGATTTGCATAACGCCGCCCAAATGTTCACGCAAAGAAAGAAGACGTAACTTTTATTCTCGCTGTAGTATTGTAGTTGTTGCCGCCGCTGCCATGTCGTGAAGGCGCTGTGTGTTTCGTTGTGAAAGCGAAACTACTTTGTTTGGCCTTCCAAAAGAGGACAATATCCGCTACGTCATGCCTAGAGCTGATC